TGCCTGGTCCAAGAGCTTGCCTGGTCCAGGAGCTTGCCTGGTCCAAGAGCTTGCCTGGTCCAGGAGCGTGCCTGGTCCACAAGTTTGCCTGGTCCAGAAGCTTGCCTCGTCCAGGAGCTTGCCTGGTCTAGGAGATTGCATGGTCCAGGAGCGTGCCTGGTCCTGGAGCTTGCCTGGTCCATGAGCTATCCTGGTCCAGGAGCTTGCCTGGTCCAGGAGCTTGCCAGGTCTAGGAGCTTGCCTGTTCCACGAGCATTCGTGGTCCAGAAGCTTGCCTTGTCTAGGAGCTTTCTTGGTCTGTTAGCTTGCCTGGTCCATGAGCTTGCCTAGTCCATGAGATTTCCTGGTCCAAGAGCTTGCCAAGTCCAGGAGCTTGCCTGGTCCAGGAGCTTGCCTGGTCCAGGAGCTTGCGTGGTCCAATAGCTTGCTTGGTCCAGAAGCCTGCCTGGTGCAAGAGCTTGCCTGGTCCACGAGCGTGCCTGGTCCAAGAGCTTGCGTGGTCTAGGAGCTCGCGTGGTCCAGTAGCTTTGCCTGGTCCAAGAGCTTGCCTGGTCCAAGAGCTTTCGTGGTCCAGGAGCTTGCTTGGTCCAGGAGCTTGCATGGTCTAGGAGCTTGCCTGGTCCAGGAGCTTGCATGGTCCAGGAGCGTGCCTGATCCACGAGTTTGCCTAGTCCTGAAGCTTGCCTGGTCCAGGAGCTTGCCTGGTCTAGGAGCTTGCATGGTCCAGGAGCTTGCCTGGTCCAGGAGCTTGCCTGGTCCAGGAGCTATCCTGGTCCAGGAGCTTGCCTGGTCCAGGAGCTTGCCTGTTCCATGAGCGTGCCTGGTCCAGGAGCTTGCCTTGTCCAGGAGCTTTCTTGGTCCGTTAGCTTGCCTCGTCCACGAGCGTGCCTGATCCACGAGCTTGCCTGGTCCAAGAGCGTGCCTGGACCAGGAGTGTGCCTGGTCCATGAGCGAGACTGGTCCAGGAGCTTGCCTGGTCCCGGAGCTTTCGTGGTCCAGGAGCTTGCCTGCTCGGAAGCTTGCCTTGTCCAAGAGCTTGCCTGGTCCTCGAGCCTGCCTGGTCCAAGAGCTTGCGTGGTCCAGGAGCTTTCGTGGTCCAGAAGCTTGCGTGGTCCACGAGCTTGCCTGGTCCAAGAGCTTGCCTGGTCCAAGAGCTTGCGTGGTCTAGAAGCTTGCCTGGTCTACGAGCTTGCCTGGTCTAGGAGCTTGCCTCGTCCAGGAGCTTGCTTGGTCCAGGAGCGTGCTTGGTCCACGAGTTTGCCTGGTCTAGAAGCTTGCCTGGTCCAAGAGCTTGCCTGGTCTAGGAGCTTGCATGGTCCAGGAGCGTGCCTAGTCCAGGAGCTAGCGTGGTCCAGGAGCTATCCTGGTCCAGGAGCTTGCGTGGTCCAGGAGCTTGCCTGGTCCAGGTTTGTGCCTGGTCCACGAGTTTGCTTGGTCCAGAAGCTTGCCTGGTCCAAGAGCTTGCCTGGTCTAAGAGCTTGCATGGTCCTGGAGCGTGCCTGGTCCAAGAGCTTGCCTGGTCCAAGAGCTATCCTGGTCCAGGAGCTTGCCTGGTCCAGGAGCTTGCTTGGTCCAGGAGCTTGCCTGGTCCAAGAGCGTGTATGGTCCACGAGCGTGCCTGGTCCATGAACTTGCCTGGTCAGGAGCTTGCCTTGTCTAGGAGCTTTCTTGGTCCGTTAGCTTGCCTGGTCCAGGAGCTTGCCTTGTCCAGGAGCTTGCCTTGTCCAGGAGCTTGCGTGAACCAATAGCTTGCTTGATCCAGAAGCCTGCCTGGTCCAAGAGCTTGCCTGGTCCACGAGCGTGCCTGGTCCAAAAGCTTGCGTGGTCTAGGAGCTCGCGTAGTCCAGGAGCTTGCCTGGTCCAAGAGCTTGCCTGGTCCAGGAGCTTTGCCTGGTCCAAGAGCTTGCCTGGTCCAAGAGCTTGCGTGGTCCAGGAGCTTGCCTGGTCCAGGAGCTTGCCTGGTCTAGGAGCTTGCCTGGTCCAGGAGCTTGCCTGGTCCAGGAGCGTGCCTGATCCACGAGTTTGCCTGGTCCAGAAGCTTGCATGGTCCAGGATTTTGCCTGGTCTAGGAGCTTGCATGGTCCAGGAGCTTGCCTGGTCCAGAAGCTTGCCTGGTCCAGGAGCTTGCCTGGTCCAGGAGCTTGCTTGTTCCACGAGCGTTCCTGGTCCACGAGCTTGCCTTGTCCAGGAGCTTTCTTGGTCCGTTAGCTTGCCTTGTCCACGAGCGTGCCTGATCCACAAGCTTGCCTGGTCCGAGAGCGTGCCTGGACCAGGAGTGTGCCTGGTCCACGAGCGAGCCGGGTCCAGGAGCTTGCCTGGTCCCGGAGCTTTCGTGGTCCAGGAGCTTGCCTGGTCCGGAAACTTGCCTGGTCCAGGAGCTTGCCTGGTCCTCGAGCCTGCCTGGTCCAAGAGCTTGCGTGCTCCAGGAGCTTTCGTGGTCCAGAAGCTTGCCTGGTCCAGGAGCTTGCCTGGTCCAAGAGCTTGCCTGGTCCAAGAGCTTGCGTGGTCTAGAAGCTTGCCTGGTCCACGAGCTTGCCTGGTCTAGGAGCTTGCCTGGTCCAGGAGCTTGCTTGGTCCAGGAGCGTGCTTGGTCCACGAGTTTGCCTGGTCTAGAAGCTTGCCTGGTCCAAGAGCTTGCCTGGTCTAGGAGCTTGCATGGTCTAGGAGCGTGCCTAGTCCAGGAGCTAGCCTGGTCGAGGAGCTATCCTGGTCCAGGAGCTTGCTTGGTCCAGGAGCTTGCCTGGTCTAGGAGCTTGCCTGTTCCACGAGCATGCCTGGTCCAGGAGCTTGCCTTGTCCAGGAGCTTTCTTGGTCCGTTTGCTTGCCTGGTCCAGGAGCTTTCCTGGTCCAGGAGCTTTCTTGGTCCAAGAGCTTGCCTGGTCCAGGAGCTTGCCTGGTCCAGGAGCTTGCCTGGTCCAGGAGCTTGCCTGGTCCACGAGCCTGCTTGGTCCGAGAGCTTGCCTGGTCTTTGAGCTTGTCTGGTCTTTGAGCTTGCCTGGTCCAGGAGCTTTCCTGGTCTAGGACCTTGCGTGGTCCAAGAGCTTGCTTGGTCCAGAAGCCTGCCTCGTCCACGAACTTGCCTGGTCCAGGAGCGTGCCTTTTCGAAAAGCTTGCGTAGTCCAGGAGCTTGCCTCGCCAAGAGCTTGCCTGGTCCAAGAGCTTGCGTGGTCCAGGAGCTTGCCTGGTCCAGGAGCTTGCCTGGTCTAGGAGCTTGCCTGGTCCAAGAGCTTCCTTGGTCCAGAAGCATGTCTGGTCCACGAGTTTGCCTGGTCCAGAAGCTTGCCTGGTCCAGGAGCTTGCCTGGTCTAGGAGCTTGCATGGTCCAGGAGCGTGCCTGGTCCAGGAGCTTGCCTAGTCCAGGAGCTATCCTGGTCCAGGAGCTTGCTTGGTCAAGGAGCTTGCCTGTTCCAGGAGCTTGCCTGTTCCAGGAGCTTGCCTGGTCCAGGAGCTATCCTGGTCTAGGAGCTTGCCTGGTCCAGGAGCTTGCGTGGTCCAAGAGCTTGCCTTGTCCAGGAGCTTTCTTGGTCCGTGAGCTTGCCTGGTCCAGGAGCTTGCCTTGTCCAGGAGCTTGCCTTGTCCAAGAGCTTGCCTGGTCCAAGAGCTTGCGTGGTCCAGGAGCTTGCCTGGTCTAGGAGCTTGCCTGTTCCAGGAGCTTGCCTGGTCCAGGAGCTATCCTGGTCTAGGAGCTTGCCTGGTCCAGGAGCTTGCCTGGTCCAGGAGCTTGCGTGGTCCAAGAGCTTGCCTGGTCCAGGAGCTTGCCTGGTCCAGGAGCGTGCCTGGTCCACGACTTTGCCTGGTCCAGAAGCTTGCCTAGTTTAGGAGCTTGCCTGGTCTAGGAGCTTGCATGGTCCAGGAGCGTGCCTGGTCTAGGAGCTTGCCTGGTCCAGGAGCTATCCTGTTCCAAGAGCTTGCCAGGTCCAAGAGTTTGCCTGGTCCAGGAGCTTGCCTGTTCGAGGAGCGTGCCTGGTCCAAGAGCTTGCCTGGTCCAAGAGCGAGCATGGTCCACGAGCATGCCTGGTCGAGGAACTTGCCTGGTCAAGGAGCTTGCCTGGTCAAGGAACTTGCCTGGTCCAGGAACTTGCCTGGTCCAAGAGCTTGCCTGGTTCATGAGCTTGCCTGGTCTAGGAGCTTGCCTGGTCCAGGAGCTTGCCTGGTCCAGAAGCGTGCCCGGTCCACGAGTTTGCCTGGTCCAGAAGCTTGCGTGGTCCAGGAGCTTGCCTGGTCTAGGAGCTTGCATGGTCTAGGAGCGTGCTTGGTCCAGGAGCTTGCCTGGTCCGGGAGCTATCCTGGTCCAGGAGCTTGCCTAGTCGAGGAGCTTGCCTGGTCCAAGAGCTTGCTTGTTCCAGGAGCGTGCCTAATCCAAGAGCTTTCCTGGTCCAAGAGCGTGCATGGTCCACGAGCGTGCATGGTGCAGGAGCTTGCCTGGTCCAGGAGCTTGCCTAGTCAAGGAGCTTGCCTGGTCCAGGAGCTTGCCTGGTCCAGGAGCTTGCCTGGTCCAGGAGCTATCCTGGTTCAGGAGCTTGCCTAGTCAAGGAGCTTGCCTGGTCCAGGAGCTTGCCTGGTCCAGGAGCTTGCGTGGTCCACGAGCCTGCCTGGTCCAAGAGCTTGCCTGGTCCAGGAGCGTGCATGGTCCACGAACGTGCCTAGTCTAGGAGTTTGCCTAGTCCAGGAGCTTGCCTGGTCCAGGAGCTTGCATGGTCCAATCTCTTGCTTGGTCCAAAAGCCTGCCTGGTCCAAGAGCTTGCCTGGTCCAGGAGCGTGCCTAGTCCAAGAGCTTGACTTATCCAGGACCTTGCGTGGTCGAGGAGCTTGCCTGGTCAAGGAGCTTGCCAGGTCCAGGAGCTTGCCTGGTCCAAGAGCTTGACTGGTCCAAGAGCTTGCGTGGTCCAGGAGCTTGCCTTGTCCAGGAGCTTGCCTGGTCTAGGAGCTTGCCTGGTCTAGGAGCTTGCCTGGTCTAGGAGCGTGCGTGTTCCACGAGTTTGCCTGGTCTAGAAGCTTGCCTAGTCCAGGAGCTTGCCTGGTCTAGGAGCTTGCATGGTCCAGGAGTGTGCCTGGTCCAGGAGCTTGCCTAGTCCAGGAGCTATCCTGGTCAAGGAGCTTGCCTGGTCCAGGAGCTTGCCTGGTCCACGAGCGTCCACGTCCATGTCCAAGTCCACGTCCTTGTCTACGTCCACGTCCACGTCCATGTCCACGTCCACGTCCACGTCCACGTCCACGTCCATGTCCACGTCCACGTCCACGTCCACGTCCATGTCCACGTCCACGTCCATGTCCACGTCCACGTCCACGTCCACGACCACGTCCACGTCCACGTCCACGTCCACGTCCACGTCCACGTCCATGTCCACGTCCACGTCCACGTCCATGTCCACATCCACGACCATGTCTTCGTCCACGTCCACGTCCACGTCCATGTCCACGTCCACGTCCACGTCCACGTCCACGTCCACGTCCAGGTCCAGGTCCACGTCCAGGTCTACGTCCAGGTCCACGTCCACGTCCACGTCCACGTCCACGTCACGTCCACGTCCACGTCCACGTCCACGACCAGGTCCACGTCCACGTCCACGTCCACGTCCACGTCGACGTCCATGTCCACGTCCACGTCCACGTCCACGTCCATGTCCACGTCCACGTCCACGTCCACGTCCATGTCCACGTCAAAGTCCTCCACGTCCACGTCCACGTCCACGTCCATGTCCACGTCCAAGTTCTCCACGTCCACGTCCACCTCCACGTCCATGTCCACGTCCATGTCCATGTCCACGTCCACGTCCACCATTTTCTCTACATATTTGCGTTAGTTACCTTTCAAACCCTTACGTTCACTAGATGAATTTATTTCCTTTCTTCTATTTGAGTGAGACCACTAGATTTCGTGTACTATGCGAGATCTGAGCAGTTCCGTTCTCCCAGGCATTTGCACTCTAAGTTCCCATACCGACCGACCTGGCCAATGCACCATTTTCCATATACATACGCATTAGATTCCTTTCGAACCTTATTAGCTCACTAGATTTATATATTTCCCACCCTCTGATCGAATGAGACCGCTAGATTCCCTTTACTTTTTGAGAAATGAGCGTTTCCGTTCTCCTTGGCCCTACTTGCACTATAAGTGCGAAATGCCGGCCAGACTGGCCGATGCACCATTTTCTCTACACATGTGCGTTAGTTACCTTTCAAACCCTTACGTTCACTAGATGAATTTATTTCCTACCTTCTTTTTGAGTGAGACCACTAGATTCCGTGTGCTATGCGAGATCTGAGCGCTTCCGTTCTCCCAGGAATCTGCACTCTAAGTTCCCATACTGACCGACCTGGCCAATGCACCATTTTCCATATAAATATGCTTTAGATTTCTTTCGAACCTTATTAGCTCACTAGATTTATATATTTCCCACCTTGTGATCGAGTGAGACCGCTAGATTCCCTTTAGTTTTGAGAAATGAGCGTTTCCGTTCTCCTTGGCCCTAGTTGCACTATAAGTGCGAAATGCCGGCCAGACTGGCCGATGCACAATTTTCTCTACACATGTACGTTAGTTACCTTTCAAACCCTTACGTTCACTAGATGAATATATTTCCTACTTTCTATTTGAGTGAGACCACTTGATTCCGTGTACTATGCGAGATCTGAGCGCTTCCGTTCTCCCTGGCATTTGCATTTTAAGTTCCGATACTGACCGACCTGGCCAATGCACCATTTTCTCTATACATGTGCGTTGAATACATTTCAAACCTTTTTAGCTGACTAGATTTATATATTTCCCACCTTCTGATCGAGTGAGACCGTTAGATTCCCTTTACTTTTTGAGAAACGAGCGTTTCCGTTCTCCCTGACCCCACCTGCACTATGAGTGCGAAATGCCGGCCAGACTGGCCGATGCACCATTTTCTCTACACATGTGCGTTAGTTACCTTTCAAACCCTTACGTTCACTAGATGAATATATTTCCTACCTTATATTTGAGTGAGACCACTAGATTCCGTGTATTATGCGAGATATGAGCGGTTCCGTTCTCTGAGGCATTTGCACTCTAAGTTCCCATACTGACCGACCTGGCCAATGCACCACTTTTCATATACATATGCATTAGATTCCTTCCGAACCTTATTAGCTCACTATATTTATAAGGGCCTAAACCCTGAGAGCGCACAGTGGGATCAGCATCAGCAGCAGGGGCAGGAGAGGCGCCAGAAGTGAGGTCAAAGAGAGAGAGGCCGTCTGCCCTATCGCACTGTAAAAACAACTGCAGGTCGTCGACCCAGACCTCAAAGTCAATGGCGCGACCCTCAGCGTCAAAAGCTAGGACACTAGGGGTAGCCATGACGACGACAGCGAAGCAGTGCAAGCAGTAGGGGAAGAGCACGCAGTGACAGTGGGACTGTGCTCACCAGGCAGGGCAGCGCTGCAGAAGGGCGGCTTGGCAACTCAGCGACTCGGCTGCTGGGCGGCTCGGCTTCCGGGCGGCTCGGTGTCGGGCGGCTCGGGTGCAGGGCGGCTCGGCTCCCGGGCGGCTCGGCGGCAGGGCGGCTCGGCTGCACCGCTGCTCGGCTGCTGCAGGTGGGCGGCTCGGCTGCTGCAGGTAGGGTGACGGGGCCGTGAGACCAGGGGCGGCGGGGCCGGCGAAGCAGGGCCGGTAGGGGGGACGGCGGGGCCGCGTCTGAGCGGGCGGCGGGGCCGCGGCTAAGCAGGCGGCGGGGCCGCGTAGTAGTGGGCGGCGGGGCCGGGGCTGAGCAGGCGGCGGGGCCGCGTCAAAGCGGGCGGCGGGGTCGCGTCAAAGCAGGTGGCGGGGCCGCGTCGTAGTGGGCGGCGGGGCCGGGGCTGGGCAGGCGGCGGGGCCGCGTCAAAGCGGGCGGCGGGGCCGCGTCAAAGCATGCGGCGGGGCCGCGTCGAAGCAGGCGGCGGGGCCACGTCAAAGCAGGCGGCGGAGCCGCGTCAGAGCAGACGGCGGGGCCGCGTCAAAGCGGGCGGCGGGGCCGCGTCGTAGCGGGCGGCGGGGCCGCGTCTGAGCAGGCGGCGGGGCCGCGTCTGAGCGGGCGGCAGGGGCCGCGTCTGAGCGGGCGGCGGGGCCGCGTCGTAGCGGGCGGCGGGGCCGCGGCTGAGTAGGTGGCGGGGCTGCGTCTGAGCAGGCGGCGGAGCCGCGATCGAAATGGGCGGCGGGGCCGCGTCTGAAGGGGCGGCAGGGCCGCGAGGGAAGGGCGACACGGAGGGTCGCTCGAGCGAGAGGAAAAAAAAAAGCTTGCGCGCCTCAAGGCGCGCTTCGGTGGGCCCTAGGCAAAGTTCCCACAGGGAACCCGCTCTATACCATGTGAAACTTGTAAAACAGGAATGAATGACTAAGTCAAGGTTGGGTACAAATACAACCCTAGAAAGCTGTACCCCATATGTGCTACCCCACTATAGCCTACAAACATGCATCAGCTATAGTAATCTGACACTACCTTCTATTTGAGTGAGACCACTAGATTCCGTGTACTATGCGAGATCTGAGCGTTTCCGTTCTCCCTGGCATTTGTACTCTAAGTTCCCATACTGACCGACCTGGCCAATGCACCATTTTCCAGAATACATATGCATTATATTCCTTTCGAACCTTATTAGCACACTAGATTTATATATTTCCCACCTTCTGATCAAGTGAGACCGCTAGATTCCCTTTAGTTTTGAGAAATGAGCGTTTCCGTTCTCCTTGGCCCTACTTGCACTATAAGTGCGAAATGCCAGCCAGACTGGCCGATGCACCCTTTTCTCTACACATGTGCGTTAGTTACCTTTCAAACCCTTACGTTCACTAGATGAATTTATTTCCTACCTTCTATTTGACTGAGACCACAAGATTCCGTCTACTATGCGAGATCTGAGCGCTTCCGTTCTCCCAGGCATTTGCATTTTAAGTTCCGATACTGACCGACCTGGCCAATGCACCATTTTCTCTATACATGTGCGTTGAATACATTTCAAACCTTTTTAGCTGACTAGATTTATATATTTCCCACCTTCTGATCGAGTGAGACCGTTAGATTCCCTCTACTTTTTGAGAAATGAGCGTTTCCGTTCTCCCTGGCCACACCTGCACTATGAGTGCAAAATGCCGGCCAGACTGGCCGATGCACAATTTTCTCTACACATGTGCGTTAGTTACCTTTCAAACCCTTACGTTCACTAGATGAATATATTTCCTACCTTATATTTGAGTGAGACCACTAGATTCCGTGTATTATGCGAGATCTGAGCGGTTCCGTTCTCCCAGGCATTTGCACTCTAAGTTCCCATACTGACCGACCTGGCCAATGCACCACGTTCCATATACATATGCATTAGATTCCTTCCGAACCTTATTAGCTCACTAGATTTATATATTTTCCACCTTCTGATCTAGTGAGACCGCTAGATTCCCTTTACTTTTTGAGAAATGAGGGTTTCCGTTCTCCTTGGCCCTACTTGCACTATAACTGCGAAATGCCGGCCAGACTGGCCGATGCACCATTTTCTCTACACATGTGCGTTAGTTACCTTTCAAACCCTTACGTTCACTAGATGAATTTATTTCCTACCTTCTATTTGAGTGAGACCACAAGATTCCGTGTACTATGCGAGATCCGAGCGCTTCCGTTCTCCCAGGCATTTGCATTTTAAGTTCCGATACTGACCGACCTGGCCAATGCACCATCTTCTCTATACATGTGCGTTGAATACATTTCAAACCTTTTTAGCTGACTAGATTTATATATTTCCCACCTTCTGATCGAGTGAGACCGTTAGATTCCCTCTACTTTTTGAGAAATGAGCGTTTCCGTTCTCCCTGGCCACACCTGTACTATGAGTGCGAAATGCCGGCCAGACTGGCCGATGCACAATTTTCTCTACACATGTGCGTTAGTTACCTTTCAAACCCTTACGTTCACTAGATGAATATATTTCCTACCTTATCTTTGAGTGAGACCACTAGATTCCGTGTATTATGCGAGATCTGAGCGGTTCTGTTCTCCCAGGCATTTGCACTCTCAGTTCCCATACTGACCGACGTGGCCAATGCACCACTTTCCATATACATATGCATTAGATTCCTTCCGAACCTTATTAGCTCACTAGATTTATATATTTCCCACCTTCTGATCGAGTGAGACCGCTAGATTCCCTCTACGTTGTGAGAAATGAGCGTTTCCGTTCTCCTTGGCCCTACTTGCACTATAAGTGCGAAATGCCGGCCAGACTGGCCGATGCACCATTTTCTCTACACATGTGCGTTAGTTACCTTTCAAACCCTTACGTTCACTAGATGAATATATTTCCTACTTTCTATTTGAGTGAGACCACTTGATTCCGTGTACTATGCGAGATCTGAGCGCTTCCGTTCTCCCTGGCATTTGCATTTTATGTTCCGATACTGACCGACCTGGCCAATGCACCATTTTCTCTATACATGTGCGTTGAATACATTTCAAACCTTTTTAGCTGACTAGATTTATATATTTCCCACCTTCTGATCGAGTGAGACCGTTAGATTCCCTCTACATTTTGAGAAACGAGCGTTTCCGTTCTCCCTGGCCCCACCTGCACTATAAGTGCGAAATGCCGGCCAGACTCGCCGATGCACCATTTTCTCTACACATGTGCGTTACTTACCTTTCAAACCCTTACGTTCACTAGATGAATATATTTCCTACCTTATATTTGAGTGAGACCACTAGATTCCGTGTATTATGCGAGATCTGAGCGGTTCTGTTCTCCGAGGCATTTGCACTCTAAGTTCCCATACTGACCGACCTGGCCAATGCACCACTTTCCATATACATATGCATTAGATTCCTTCCGAACCTTATTATCTCACTAGATTTATATATTTCCCACCTTCTGATCGAGTGAGACCGCTAGATTCCCTTTACTTTTTGAGAACTGAGCTTTTCCGTTCTCCTTGGCCCTACTTGCACTATAAGTGCGAAATGCCGGCCAGACTGGCCGATGCACCATTTTCTCT